TTGAAGCTCTCTATGCATCTTTTTTTTTTATTTTATTTATTGTATCTTTCAGCCCCAGAATTTCTGTTTGGTTCTTTATTATGATTTCTCTTTGTTGAACTTCTCATTTTGTTCATGCATTGTTTTCCTGAGTTCATTGAGTTGTCTGTGGTCTCTTGAATCTTACTGTAGTACCTTAAAATAATTATTTTTACATCTTCTTCAGGTGACTCACAGACCTCTGTTTCTTTGGGGTGTGGTACTGGAGTACTATTGAGTTTCTTTGATTGTATCATGTTTTCTTTTTTCTTTTTCTAATGGCTTTACATTGATGTCTGTGCATTTGAGGGAGCAGTTAGCTCTTCTGGCTTTTTTAGACTGACTTTGGTTGGGAAAGATTTTTTCCTGAAGGCGGCTGTGAGGGCTTTGGCTGGGTGGCTGCAGCATCTCTGATTCCAGCAAGGGCACAGTGGCATAGTTTCTGTACATCTCCATCAACTGAGGTCAGCGTTGGCAAAGCCTGCATGGTCTTCGCTGGCCAAGACTGGATGTTCTGCAAGTAGCAGTAGTGTCTAGGGCTCTTGGGGATCCTCAGTAGCAGAGGATGCTGGGATTTTCCTGTTCTCCTCTTTTGCCTGTGAAAGGAAGTTCTAGACAAAGGTATCCCTCTTGGCTCCTGCTCTGGTGCACTGGCACACGGGGCAGCAGTAAAGCTGGGTCCTGGGATCAGGTACATGTGGAATTACCACAATGCCTGGGTCCTGGGGCACAGGTGCACTTGCTGCAATGGTAATGCTAGTGTCTTAACATGTAGGCATGTGCATATCTCTGGGACTTGCCAGAGTGTTTGGATTCTGGAGGCGGAGGGGAGGGTGACCTAGCAGTGGCATTGGCCATGGGATGATAAGGTGCAGCAGTGGCTAGGGCACCGCAGCAGCATCAGGCCCTGGGAACGGTGGGTCAAAGTCCTGACTCTGGCCCCAGGGGCAAGGGGCAGAGCAGCAGCAGCTCAGGCTCCGTGACTCAGGACCCAACAGATGGGACATAGAGCTGCAATGGTACTGCCCAGTGACAGCAGGTCAGTGCTGTGACTTAGGACTCACAGGGTGGGCCAGAGAGTGGCAGCTGCAACAGCACAGCCCAGTGGTGGTGGATCAAAGCTACGACTTAGAATCCCAGAGGCCAGGGCCCAGAGAGTGGACACAGCATCCATTGGGGCCCTGGAGGCAGGCCTCACAGCAGCAACAGGCCCCAGCTCCCATGAGGAGACACAGCAGTGGAGGTGGCACAGTAGTGGAGATTCCCTGCGCTCTATTAGCTGGGGTCAGTGTGGTAAAGACTGTGGGGTCCTCGGTAGCAAAGGCTGAAAGTGACCATGGCAATGCGGTAGCAAAGGCTGAAAGTGACCATGGCAATGATGACACTTTTCCGAGGCTCTCCTGCTCTTCTTTCCCCATGGGGTAAAATGCACCCGAAGGACTCCCTCTTTGCACTGAGCTGCTCTGAACGGGGTGTGAAGATGCAGGTAAAATGCTTCCCACACTTCTTTGTGGCCATGCTTGTATTTTGAGCTCCAAGGGGCTCTGTTTCTTTGTTGCAGCTCAGAGCTTTCCTGGAACTGTTTTTGCATGTTTGTAGTGGTTTATTTATTTTTTGTGGGGAGATGACCTTTGGGACCTTCTAGCCTGCCATCTTGCTGATGTCAGTCCCTACAATACAATTTTTGTTTTATTTCAAGCTTGAGAAAGCAGAAAAGAATCAAGAAAGGTAGTAGTGAAAGTATAATGTGAGTCTGAACTGGGTGGAGAACAGGTTTTATGTAAAGTTTAAACTTTATTGATTAGGCTACAGCATAAATAACCCACATACACATAATCATATTCAACTTGGAACAACAGGACATATTTTGTAGAATATTTATCTTCTTTTGCTTAAGATAAATATTAATCTTTTGCTTTGTAATAGTAATTTGCATTCTTTAAAATGTACAATTTATGATGACCCACAAAAAAAGCACAAGTAAACCAATTTGGAATTTAAATGTTTTCTCTAGCTTATCCATATTAAAATAAGCAAAACAAACCCATATTTTGAAAGTGCACAGTTATGATATAATTTCCCCACCAATGCCTTTGCAGTAGATAGAATCTATATCTGCTTATCCAAGTATATTGAGGTTTTGGGAACAAGTCATAATTTGGGGCTGAATGAATAAATGAATGTCAAAAATTGGGAGCTGGCTTGATCCCCAATTTAAAAAAACAAAAAGGCCTAGGAACTTCAGTTGGCCCTTTAAAGCAGCCGAAACATGGTCTCTGCTGGGAACTGAGAGATGCTCAACTGTCTGAGCTATCTAGCAAAGGCACACAGGAGCGGCTGGCAGTTGAGTACAGGGCACTGTTAAATGGATAATAAATCTCGAGCAGCAGGAAGAAGCTGGTCCAGTAAAGTCTGGTTGTGTTATTGGTAGGTTTACACCTTTCGATGGTGGGGTGTGGCCCTGGTTCCGGTCAAGGTCCAGTGCGTGTCTGTGAAGACACAGAACTGGGCATCATTCAGGAGACCTGACGGCAGACAGTGAGTGGGATACAAAGTGTTTTGTGAGAACTCAGCCTCTGGAAGCCCTCACACCAAGTGGTGTTTAAATTTAGTTTCAGCATTCGCAATACAAATAAAGAGAAATTCACAGTTGACACAAAGATGAGTTGTCTCCATCCATCTTCCTTTAAAGCTGCTTACTCTGGAAAAGACGCCAAATGCGCGATGTTCCCACAGCCGCCCTCCGCAGGCGGCACACGGCCTTGCTCGGTCAGCGGGAGAGCGCAGTGGCTCGGGGTGCAGGGCTGGGGGTGGTTTGCTGAAATTGCTCTTCACTGACTGCACGTGCTTGTTTGTTCCGTCTTTATTTTAGGGTTAGAATGGGAAAACCTTATTCCACAAACTTATTCCAGAAATCTGGGTCAGTTCTAAAATTTGATTGTCCTCATTAAACTTGGCTACTTGAGGATCTGTTACTAAATAAGCCTGTAATCATTTAACTGTTTGCAAAGGTGAATTGATATTTTAAAAGTGACATTTTTGGTGAAAACCATTTCATATTGCCCACTCTGGAAAAATTAAACTCGGGAAATTCTTGGGTGGGTTCAGCCAAGACTCTCCTCCTGAGCCAAAACTTCCCTTTGGAGCAAGGCTCACTTCAGCCATTTTTACCTGGAAGAGAAATCCGGCTTTACTCCCAGGTCCATGTATCTCCATGTAAACCGCCCCTGTGTTTTAAATATTATGTTATGTTAAAGATTGTCACTGTGGTGGTAAAGTTAAAATATCAAGGTCAAGAAACAAAGCACTCCTCTGGCAGAAGCCTCTCCCAGGCAGCACCGGTGGCAGGGCCGTTCCAGGGCCCGAGGCGGCCCTGCCTGCGGTTGTGGGAAGACACTGCATCCACGGCTGCAAGTTATTTGTGGCTCCCTGAGGAGCCTGTTCACACTCTCCTCCAGGGCTCGAGCTTGGGAGGCAGAGCTGGAATTTTCTAGTTCTTGTTAGACTGCCTGCTTCAGTCCAGAGCACAAAAAGGCTGATGGGGGAGCGAGCTCACAGAGAGAGCCTGAGGAATGCAGCTTGGAATGTGCTACTGTTTCCTCCTCCTTGACAGGTTCTGGAGGGAAGCGCACAGCCGCCTGGCCGGCCAGTGGGAGCTCCACCGGGGCCGAAGCCTGACGACCAACCACAGTGAATCCTGTGTGAGCGGCGTGTTGGCAAGGGCTGCTTTTGAAGTTGACTGACTTTTATGATTAACCGAAAGTTATTGGGGGAAAACCATTTTTTGATACACCTCATGTTGGTAGAAGTCTCTTTTAAAAGTTTGGGATTTACTTTCCTTTTTTTCAGTGAATTAAAAATGTATTTCATTTTTTTTTTTAGAATTAAACTCCATGGTATGTCCATGGCATTATCTTAATCAGAAAAGCTTATTCCACATTTCCTGTAATATGGCTGTTGAAGGTAAATTTATTGGACTGAAAGTTACAGACTCTTGAATAACCCGAGTTATTAGCGTAAAGGAAGAAAAAAAAAACCCTGATACAAGATTTTGTCATTTTTTCCATTTTTCTGAAAACTATAGAAACATTTCATCTAATTGAGGGTTATAAATCCTCTGAATGTGACTTCATAGTTTAAATAATGAAAATGATGGTGGTGAGAGGGGTAATCTGATTCTGGAGCTGTGGACTGGAGTTCTGCTTCGCGCCGGGTCTCATTACGAGACTCGGGACCAGGCGCAGGGCCCCGTGCGGCCCGCTCTCCCAGCTCTGACCTGCAGCGTGCGTCTCCTGGGGCGAAAAATCACGCAGTGTTCCTTTTTTTACTGGAATGTATTATACTATTGTAATTAGTATCTACTTTCCCATTTTCTTTCATGGGACTATTTGAATCCCACCACGGGTTCCCACATATGCATCTGTATGTACGAGTATGTGTATAAAGTTATGTGAGATTTGTGTTTTCTATCATATCTATAATGTACAGAACTCCTCGGAGACCACCATATTTTAGGGGGCAGGGAAAGCCTCTGTTGCTGTCTGTTCCCAGAGCTTTTCTCTGAGACTATAAATTAGGCCTGGGAAAGCTATAATGAGTCAGTAATTTATAGACTATTAAGATACTTAGTTAGAAGTGATTCTTGAGCATGTCCAATAGAGAACACATGTTTGTAAAGACAAACAGATTCAACACAACATGTCTTTGGCCTAACCAAGCCCAGCCAATTAACAAACTGGGATGTCTCATTTTGCATATCTCCCACTCCCCCAAAATAGAATCACTAACCACTTGTTAACCACATTGCCTTTTTAATAGACACAGTGGTTGCTATAGCTCTGCCACCAGGGATGTTCGGATGCAGCACCCTGTTAGATTGTAGCCAGCAGTCCGCAGAACAGGAAGAGAGCTCTCCTTGCTTTTGGCCTCCTTTCCCGGTTCGACTTGTGATAATTCATTGCAGGTTTCTCTTCCTCCGACAGAGTGCCTACCGCCGGACTGGAATGGCTTTTCTGGCCTGCTGATGGGACCGTGACTGCGACAACAGGAAAGGCAGGGTTACAGGAGGTGATTTCTGTGCCCCTCTTTGGACAAAGGAAAATGCAAGCTTACCTTCTCTGTGTCCTCAGAAGCTGGCTGGTTCGTTGTGACTCTCAGCTGGCTGGCTCCAGCTCCTCTCCAGCCCCCTCAACGCTTAGTCCTGTTTACTGGATGGGCCGCTTCGCTAATTAATGGCAGGATGTTTGGGATAGTGTGTAGGTGGACAAGAATGCAGATCACACAATTTTGAAATTTTAATTTGGAATGATTTACTGCCCTCAGCTCACATATCTTAAAAGCAATGTCTTTTTTTTTTTTCAGTGTTTAGTCTATGTTTTACATGATGCATTTTGTAATCCAAGTTTGGGACAAAGGAAACAAAATTAAAGGGACAGTCAGCTTTCTCCTCACACTGTCCCACTAACTTTACTTTTCAACATTTGTTGACCACATCTACATGTATTTAGAAACAAGTACCTACTTTATAAACTCACACTGATCAAAAAGTAGCTGACCTGATGAACTGTCGGCTCCATCTTCTCTTCCCCTCACCCACTCACAGGATGTGTGTCCTTTCAACGCCCCCTGCCCAGCTTCCTGCACGCCCGCCCGCTGCGTGTGCCCTTCCTCCTCCAGACCCTCTTCCCCTCTCGTTTCTCTCCTCGGCCTGCCCTCCAGGCCGCAGGCCGAGCCCTCACACACACTGCGCCCATTTAGAAGCACAGTACTCAGAGCCCATAAGAGGGGAGCCAGGAGTGCTTTCTTCCTCCAGTGGCTACCCACCCACCCCGCACCCCACCCCCCCCACCCCCCCCCCAGCACTGGGACGGCCACCCAGACCCAGGCCCGGGGGGGTTTCTGGCCGGTAGGTGCCGAGCTGCCCTTCTGGCATCTGTACTTTCTCCAGTAAGTGAGGAACTGTAACCCTTGGGAACAAATCAAAATATAGCAGATGTAATTGTAATTGTGCAGTTCCTGATTAAACTTGAACTCCAAAAAAAAAAAAGGAAGTTATTCTTTTAATTTTGTAGGAGTTTTGTGTAATCTTACTTTTATCATGGTTTTTACTCACACTGAAACAGCCTTTGTAAAGAATTAATAAAAACAGAAATGAGAAACACGAAAGATTTTCGTCTGCTGGCCAAAATCATTGTGAAGCTTAGTTAATATGATTGTGCCGTATTATTCACATTTGTTAACTATCATTTACCTGTTCTGTTACTCCTTCTGGAAAAAATCTTTATGTCAAGAACAAAAAATGCAGATATATAATATCAAAAAATTGCCAAGGGGTTTTGATGTTCCGTCTCTGCTTGTTGAAATGTATGATTAAACTTTTCTTTTATCATCATTCTTATTTTTCTTGGCGTCCCTAATCATGGAAAATTATAAGCTTGTAGTAAACATCCCAGCTTTTAAAAGGACAGCATTTATTGTATTTGGTTTCGATCTGCCAGCCTTATTGATGTATAAAATTTTCAGGGACTATTTTTTCACATCAAAATTCCTTCTCTCCCACATTATATATTTTACAGCATGCATACGGCAGAAAATATAGGATTTAAGTTTTTTCCCCTTTACTTCATTCTACCTGATCTCCTTATAGTCCCAGAGAAGGAAGACTCAATGTACATTTCTCTCAGAAATATGACAGGTCTGTGTTTTTGTTGGTCTGGCGTATGTTTGTCTATCTTGAACAGTCTGACAGGTAATTATTTATAAAATCTGGTTTTGCCCAGTAAGTCCATATAATAACCTTTCATTTTTCATCATAAGCCAGTGAGCTGAATTTAGAATAAAACAAGGTCATTTATGTCTCCTGAACCACCAGCCTGGATGTCCCCATAATTGCTCAATATTAATATTTTTAATTCCTTTTTTCTTTTCTACCCTTAGGTTTTTTTCTCTGACTCTTTCCACAACACTAAATTGGAAGTGAAATAAAATTTCCTTAAGCAGTGAATATAGAAAAAAAGAAGGAAAGTTTCAGAAAATGTGACTTCAGTAAATTTCTCTGAAGATTAAGGTGTTATGTAGAATCATAAAACGTTAGAGCAGAAGATGGTCTTAAAGACCATTGAAAACAGCCACTCATTTACAAATAAAAGCACATGGCCTAGAGCAGGTAACTGACTTTCCCAAGGTCACTCATTCATGGCCGTGACAGACCGCAGACCAGACCCCTGGTCCCCAGTTCTCGGCCTGGTTGTGTACTTCATGCTGGGTTTGCGTGAGACGCTACCAAGACATGCCTGGCACTGTGGCATGTTTACCTTAGACGGTGACCCAGATGTGTAAGAAATGATACCAACTATGGACCCAGCCTAAAGCACATGTTATATCAAATTTTTCTTCAAAGGGACTGATAGTAATTAAATAATCTCTGTTATATGTCAATTATATATCAATGTTTTTAAAAGAGGCCTGCAGGCCAGGGAGAGGGCATAACATCCCTTGGGCACCTACTTCGTGCCGGGAATCTCCTGCTGCTGCTTCATGCATCGTCACAACGCCTTCATGAGGTAGATGCTATTAAAAAACAGAAACGATGCTCAAATCTAAAATACAAATACATGATATAGTTTCTGTTTTTGTAGGCTTGTGTTTTGGAGATCGAACTTGAAAATAAATAAAACCAACAGGTAAACAAACAGCTTCTCTCATGGGAGATGGACACTGCCTCATAGGTCTGAGAGGAAAGGAAATAGAAATATTTCTCCCATCACCTAAATTTGGAAATGCGACTTTCTGAACATGCTGTTTTAAGGCTCTGCCTTTAACCTTCCTGTCTTTACATGTCGCAATAGTTGAGATTCAAAAATAATGTTCCAGTTTTAGAACCAAGAGGTTTTTTTTGAAGCACAAATATTTTTTTAAATGGTGTATGTTAATTTCTCTATCTGAGGAGAATTCTTTACTTATTACTGTTTGTTCTTTGTTTCTGTAAAATAACAAACAATCTGTATTTAATGCTTTCACCACGTAGAAAACAAATAAGCACAACTGGTGGTTCTCGGTCTGTAAGAAAATACGTTTACTTGTCTAGAAATTATAAAGTTTAATTTTATGAAAAAGAATTTATATAGTTCCCAAATCAGAGATTTATTTCCAGTTCATGTAACCCCTTGTGTAAAACTGAATCACTACAGGGAAAGTATTCCCTCATCTGCCCTCCTGGAATTTAGATAGAACCTTCCCAGGTTGCATTTAAAATTTTACCATCAACCATGTACACATCTCATAAAATACTTTACAGTTTCCTGTATGCTCTGGCTGAACATTTCATAGTACATAAACACTTCTGCGAATAATATAAGGGCATCAAGTGGAATATGTCCTAGCAGGGGCCCCCACGTAACGCTGACTGTCCAGCACTTTACTTCCTTATTTCTGTCTTCTTTGAAAGGCGAGAGGACACCGGGTGCTCCTCTGGTGCCACCGCGGGGGGAGGGGCGCTGGCCGGAGTGGTGGAGCCGGGCTCAGCAGACCAAAGGCTCTCCGCAGAGGGCGTGGAGCCAAACTCCGACACAAAGCCAGGCCTGCAGGGATTGGATGCGAATGTGATGGTTAAATAAGGGCCAGATGCCTTTAAACACTCAAATATTAAAAAGTCATATCTCTTAAAGCAAGTCTGTAATGTTGTGAGTAGGATAGTGATACCACAGCACTTAAAAAAGGAACAAAGAAAGAGGCTTGCATTTGTTTTCTGGAAACAAAATAGCAAATATTCAAGCTGTCGTAAGTCATGGGAATCTTGGCAATTGAAGCAGATTTTAAAACAATTCCTAGCAAGTCACAGAAACCCACATACAATATTATATTGTTGGAAACCATGGTAATTCTGTTTGCAGCGTTATATTCCCTTTTCTGCTTATCGCCACCCGTTAGTCACTGTTCTCATATTTTTTCAAAGGAAAATAAAAATAGAAAAGGATATAGGAAAAATAAAGACTCAAGATGGTTACCTACATAATTTTACTTATACCAAGTAGCGCTTTACTTGTTGAAAATGATGACATACTGTCAGCGCTTTAACAGTAAGTCTGACATCATCATTCCAGCACCCGTGTGCACCCTGTGTGCTGGGCTCCCTGGGGGGGTTGTCTCGTTCCCGGGGCAGTAGGGGGAAGCCAGGATCGGTGCCCAGCAGTCCGACCCCAGAGCCTGTGCTCAGGTCCGAGTTTCCACGGCAAGGAGCGTTCGTGGGGAAGGACTTCTAGGAACATGTTAATGCGAAAGAGAATTGCTCCGCTGAACCTAGAAGCACTTCTCAGTACCCAAACACTTGATTACAAGAAAATTTCATTTTAACCTCACATTCCTTCTCTAAGACCAAGCATTGTGTATATGATAGAATATCATATCATGTGTAATAGAATATAATTATATAGAACAATGCCAAGTCCTCTATAATGTCGTAGACCTTAAGATAAATAAATATGATCAATGCACATACTAAGAATCATTATACAAATTATGAGAAAAACTTCCTCAAAGATCATGTGTACAAACCTCTCCTTTGTGAAGACGAGATTTCTCTAGAAAGCTCTAATTAGGCTACTATTCTATACTTTCATACAAGGTGTTTATCTCATATTATAAAATAACCCCCATCTTGATTATATGTGTTTGCTGTGGCAGCTGCAGAAATGCATGAGGCAAGCCTTGGAATCCCCCACAGATGCCCCGTTTAGGTGTGTGCCCCTGGACGACGGACGGCCTCGCCCTCGCTCCTCCGGCCCAGGGCGTGTGTGCGCATGCCCGAGGCGGGTGGAGAACAGCAAGGGGAAAGCTGCTGCATGTGTGTGAGTTAGTGGTCATTTTTCCCTCCTCCTTCCTTCAACCCTAGGCCCGTCCTGCCTCAGGACGGGTCACTTTCGGACTCACGTCTTTTGAGACGTCACTACCAGTGCCCCAGCCTGTGGTCCTGCACGTGTTTCTGATGGCCGCTGATCAACTCCTTCCAACCGCTTCCTGGGGAGAAGTTAGCACACCTACCACTGCACGGGCCACCTTTCGTCACTCCCCCTGACCTCCGTGTGCCAGGCAATCAAGCAGACCCAAAGCGGCAGTA